CTCGTTATTATAAGATTACTGTTTACTGGATTTCAGATCAAATCAAATAAATGCAGCCCCCTAAAAAAATAAAAATAAAATACCAACCCCAAACTTTTGAATGGTAGTGTAACTAAACAATACAATAATGTAATATTATGAATTTGTTTTGTTTTCCTCAGCAACACCAATAATCTAGTAATTAGATTAAAAATCTAAATACTAGCTCCAAAATTAATTGAATGAAAATAATGTCACTATACAAATAATCTAAAAGATAGGCTTAACATTCGTGTAAAATAGTCTTGTAAAATAAATAAATAACACGTCTAAAATAAATAAATAACACATCTTATTTTCTTCATTTTGAGGTTAAATATGACCTGCACAAGTTTTGTAAATTTCACCACACGGTGAGAATAATCCAGACTTTGACCTGAGAGAAAACAAGACGTGGCTCTCACTGAAACTAGAAAGTGACAAGAGTAACAAATGAAATCCGTCTTGCCAGCTATCTTTACTCAGGGGGGACAGAGCCTTTCCCCGTTCATTACGCTAGCAGAATTGGATTTTCCATCTACGTGTAAATCCACATGACCTCTCCAAAGACTAAGAAAAAAAAAAGTCAGCACTGCAAAACAGGGTTGGTGTAGATGCCAGAAGCGCTCAACAGTACAGCGGTACGTTTCAGTGGTTGTAAGCATCACACCGCATGCCATCTTGAATGAGACATAGCACAGACATGTCCTATTACTGCGCAGACAGTGGTCTGCAAACTCAATACTACGGTGGCCGAGAAGTGCAAAGCAAATCACAATTCTGAAAACAAAATAACAAATTACAAACGCAAATGCAAGTCTAAAAAACATAATAACAATTCAGAAAACACAACAACAATTCAGAAGACATTATAACAAGTCAGAAAACACAACGACAAATCAGACAAACCGGAAAAGGTAGGTATAGTTTGAGACTTGGTTTTTGACGCGATCGACCCGGGTTCGATCCCGCCTTTTGCCGAACTTTTTTTTCCTCCCTTTTCAAATCTCGTATTATTTGTAATTTGTTATTTTGTTTTCAGAATTGTGATTTGCTTTGCACTTCTCGGACACGTACAATACTGATGGATGGCTAGCGACGACTCATAGCGTCCTGATTGATTTCACTCACCTGAAGATGGCCTTGGTGCTGTCACTTCCACATTTGAATCCCTCCGCTCTGAAACAAGCAAGAAAAAGAGAGAAATCTGTGAGTGTTCTGTAAAATGAACAACAAAACTAATCAGAGTGCTCATACAGTTTTATATAAACACACTTTTGAAATGCCTTGGGCCATGTTCTGTCTATATAACTAGTTTCCCTGTTATTGCATTTGGAATTGCCTTAAAACAAAGGATCATGCTGAAGGGAGCCGTTCTGTCAGTGGTGTCAGGGTATTGAATATGCATGATTGATGGTTTAAATAACAAATTCATTTCTTTGTCTCTTGGGACTTTAATCAACATTGTGAGCCTATTGCAAAGTCTTTGCAATGGCTTTCAGAAATGCGTGTTTCTCAATTTAAAAAGGAAAAAAAAACCTTCTCATTGTATATGGTAACAAAAACTGTCTTTGTGTATTTAGAAAAGTGCCACTGTCATCTGCCATGTCTATATAACATATATACATTACCATTCAAAAAGTTTGGGATAAAGTTTATACATATATACATTTTTATACATAAATACTTTACCTAACCCTAATTATTAATTTTTGGCACATATATATATATATGTGTGTGTGTGTGTGTGTGTATGCCCCAATTACAAATTTTTGGCACATATGTGTGTGTGTGTGTATGTATATATGTATATATATATATATATATATATATATATGTGTGTGTGTGGCGTTGCTATGTAGTTGCTATGGTGGGTAGTTGCTAAAGTGTTCTGGGTGGTTGATAGGCTACTGGCCTAAGTTTCTATGAATTTTTATGCCATGTTTAAAAAATTATCTCGACATAGAGATAGATAGATAGATAGATAGATAGATAGGTGTGTGTGTGTGTGTGTGTGTGTGTGTGAGGGCAAAGCTGAAGTAAAAAAAAAAAAAAGATTTATTTTACAAAATTGTACTGTCACTTTTTAGGAATAAAAACGTTCAGCTTATGTATCCTTAATTAATTACCCAAATGAATGCAGAATCAACATAAAAGAGGCATGATAATTACATTAAATAATCACTTTTTATTCATATAATTTAAAATAAAGTTTGAGTAGATCATATTATCATAAACATGTATGTTGCAGTTCCTAATTAACTTACTGGCCAGTTGGCAGGGTTTTTATTTGCTTGCCAAAGGCATGTTTTGTTGCTCAGCAAGAGTTGATTTTTAACCCTGCATAAAATCTATTTCTGTGTATTACGCTTTTAAAAATGCACTGCCACTTGTGCCTAACCTCCTCTGTGTGTGTTTCTACCTGAAGGCCACCCTGTCGTTACTCTTTCTCAGGTCAACCAGCTGCAGGATGTCATCTCTGGAGCAGCTGAGCAGCTGCCTGTGATTGGGGCAGAGGTCCAGTGATGTCACTCTGCCCTGAAGAGGCACTTCCTGTGTGCAGGTCCCTGCCCTACAGAATACAGACAACCGCATTTTACTTTACCGTCATATCTTACTGTAACCAAGCATAATACGGCAAACAGGTAAACATGACAATTCAGTACTTGTTTTATCACTGTTTATTTTATTACTTTTATTTATTTTTAGGCATGGGAATAATAGTACATTCAATTCTGCAATTAATACTTGCTGTTTAATGCGTTAAAAATACTAAATGCAATTAACACAGCATCCATTTTTGTGAAAATAATATTAATGATTACAAATGTAAATGTTAAGTACAAAATGTATTTTAAAAGTGATGTATTTACAAAAAAAAATAATAAAAAAAACTATGAAGAATTTTGATGTTTAAAACAATTTTCATGCTAATGTGAGAACATATGGATTTTGACTATTTTTCCTAATTTTTTCATGATTTCAATAATTTCACGTTAATTTTATGTTCAATAATAGTTCTAGTAGCTAATATCTTAAGATATCTAATAACTATTGATAAAAAATTAATTAAATTGAATTTTAAATTAAATTAAACGTGTGCCTATTAAATGCTTTTAAATTGTAATGGGACACCACAGTGAGCCCTGTTTGGGAAAAGTGCCCTAGTTGACATTATTGCCATCTGGCCTCATATTATTTGTGTGTTGTATATTAGGACAGATCAAGCACCATGATGCTTAAGGCCCATCTGTAAGTCTGAAATCTGACAAGTGCAGCTCTCCATCAAGCATAAGGAGACTGATGTCATGATAGTTTGTCTCATTACACTATGAGTGATGCACTTAATAAGACAAGGGAGGCGAGTGCAGATGTGCAACCTGAGGATACAGTCTGCTGTTTCCTTTTATATTCCAACAAGTTATCATCTGGACAAGGACAAGGGGAAAGACAGTGAATCTCAAGACATTTAACATTTATGATGTCCAGGGTGTCACTCGGTAAACCAGAGGAGCCTTGCTTTTCTGAACGTTGCGCAAGACAATGATTTGAATTTCAATCACAGAGACAGGCTTGAGTGTTTATTGCCTCTTAAAGCGACACACATATTGTGCATGCTTATTATACAGTGAACGCGTAACTCTGAAAGTAACTCTTCTTTTCCGAAAGAATCAAAAATGGTCAAAGCGTTGCATGGAGAAAAACGCAAATGTCATAATATAGCACAAATCCCATTACGACGAGATGAGATGAGAGGAGAGACAATTATGTGGGCTGATGGTTGCTAGGAGACAAGCGAGCCGTCGGCTCCTTGGCAGCTGAAAGCTGTGGTTGCTTGGAGTGAATGAGAGATGTCAAGGACTGAGACGTGGTGTAAATAATGGCTCTCTTTCTACCTCTGTGGCGTCATCTATATTGTCAGCTTCGCGCTGAAAGGTGAATTACGCTCGCCGTGAGGCTTTGTGGCCTACGAAGAACAGAGCTTTGCTGGATGAACATCCTTGGTGCTATTATTTTACATCTCTTATCCAATCAGAGCAATCGAAACCCACTGAGATTCTGAACAAGGAGGGTTACACAACAATTGAGGCGTATTATTGCTTTTGGTCGCTACCAAGTGATTTCCAAAGCAGCCTTATTCAAGAAAACTTGACCAGCTCCAGTGTGACATAAGATTTATGCAAATTTAAGGGAAGACACCACAGGTGAATAGGGTAACATCTTTAACTGATTTTTAACTGACTGATCACAGTACATTAAAGGGCAAATTAGTGCAAGAGCGCAATTCCAAATAGAGCGCAGATGGGCGTGGAAATTTCTGTAGTTAATTTACTAACAATGCGCAAATTAAAGAATACAGACGCAACATCTCATTTACATATCGACCAACACAATATACCACAATATGCGCAAATTAGAGCAGTCGCAAATTAAGAATAAAGAAATAACGAAGCCATAGTAGTAGAGGCCCAAAAATGCTAGAAGTTGCAAGAAGTTTAGACTCCTAGCTGAGGGTTCTAAGCAGTCTTTTATTTCCTGAAGCAAATTAAAAATAACATGGCTGTGACGAGAAGGGCAGGGCCGAGAGCCATGGGAACAGATCGAGGCCGGTGGAGTAAATGCTAATGCGCGACACCTGCACCACTCACCGGTCTCGAGTCCCACGGAGGAGCTCCGGAAGGATAAAAGGAGGAGCGACGACAGTGTTGGACGAGAGAGGACCAGGCCTGGATTTTATTTTGTGTTTTGTGTGCGGCAGTCGTCCGCGAGGGGCTGCCGCTTTACTTTCATCTTGTGTTTGTTTATTTTATTAAAGTCTTTAAATGTTCGCCGGTTCCCGCCTCCTTCCCGAACTACGAACTGTGTTACATTGGTGCCGAAACCCG